ATTTAAGCAAGCCAACAACATATTGGGATGCCACTGACTTGTTGTGATGGCAAAAATAAAGTAGTTACTATTTATTCTACTGTCCTCTGGTGTTCATGCTTTATCATTAGACGTAAAACTGGAAAACAGAAAAGGCGCTGAAAATGAATGTAAATTAAATTAGGTACAGTTTGGAGCCAACCTTGCATCACACTTTTTAAAATGAACTTTAATAATGACCAGTGGGCACAGTTGTTAAAATTGCAATACAACTTTTGAATTTACCATTTTCTATATAAATTGATGTAATGTCACAGGTCAGTAGGGTTGGGCCATATCATACTATTCACGGTAATACCAGTATAATGTTAGGCAATGATAAGAAAATGAAATATCGGGTTGGAATATGGGTAAACACGCATGTGCAGTGCCTTTGTTTTCATACGCACATGGCGGCGACGGAAAATGAGAACGGCAAAAGCAGATTGTTGAATGAAACAGATGAACCAGAATTGTTTTGTAAAACTGGTACAACCTCAATGATGTGGAACTGGTTTGGCTTTCATCTGTCAGATACACACCAGAGCACATTTTTTGGTAGAGCATGCAAGCAGGCCATCGTTATTACCAAACCGATTTTAGGTGGTACACCGCACTCAAAAAGCTGTCAAAAGTGCTTTAGTTCGACTTTGCTAAGCTACGAAGCCGCACCACTTGATGGATTGTCGGAGCATTATGTCTACCGTAGTCGGGAGCCTCGCGGAGTAATACGTACTGTGCTTCAACATAATATTACCGCATTGTGTGTGTGTGTGTATATATAAAACCTTTTTTAGTTTTGTGGATATTATACATGGTTATGCTGAGGATATGTCAGCCAATTTGTACTGGAAATGCCTTTTGGTTAAACTGTCAGCAAGGAATTTGCACTTTTAAATGTTTATTTAAAACATGCCATATACAGGCCATATTGCCCTGCCCTACAGGTCAGTAAGAATTAAAAAAAACAAAACACAATATTACTTGCATAAAAAGAAAGAGGCAATAGAATTTCAAAGGTAATTAAGTTTCAAAATTAGCCTAAAGAGAGAGTCAAATGGAAGACAACAAATCATTCACATACATTCTCTTGTATGCACAACTCAAGTCTTCCATCCTGGACCACGTAGATGCTGTCATCATCATCTCCTGGTTTGAACAGGCTTTCACCCTCCTGTAGCTCAATAAACACCATATGTCGACACAGCTCCAGAAACAGAGGCTTCTCAAAATGGCCCAAGACCCTACAAGTTGAAGAACAAAAGCAATTTAAAAAAAAAAAAAAGAAAAAAAAAGAAAACCCACACACAGACAAAATTGACTTGCCTACCTGACATTTTTCAGCATATACAGGACCTCAGAAGGCAGATTCGAGCTCTGCACTTCAAACTCTGTTAGATCAGCTTCCAGCAGGGAGGGAGGGGGTTCCTTGGGCTGCAGGGTGGGAGGGTCTCTCCGGATCCTCAGAATTCTGTCAGGAGGAAAAACAAACAAACATGTACTTTAAAAATAAAACACTAATTTCACAAAAAGCCTTGAGTACATAGTATTTAAAAATGTGTTCTTTCGTCATACTTGCGGGCTATGTTTAGAACTTTGGTTCTTTTTCGTATGCGCTGTGGTTGCTTTGATGGCGAGGGATGGGATGGAGAAGGAAGCGAGGAGAGTGTCTTAACCTACAAAACAATATTCAAATATATTTTGTTTATTGCGCGCAGAAAAAGAATTTTATCCAAAGTTGTACTTCTACTTAAGAAATATTAAAACTGATTTTTTTTTTTTTTTTTTAAACTGCTGTATTAAACATAGAAAGGCTGTTTGTCATTTATCATCAAGCCAAACTACTGAAGGCATTTTCAGTCATTGTGTATTAGGGTGAAACTATAGTCTTAGTAGTGTTGCCTATGAAATTAATAGGAAACTACAACTAGATGTTAACATCAAGTATTTCTGGACATCAACTGTTGGCATAAAAGCATTAAAAGCAAAATTAACTAGTTTTTATAGAGCAGATAACAATCTACTAGACTATACTAGTAGACTATACCAAGAGAGTGTGTATGAGCCATCAACAGAACTGAGAAGGGAAAAAAAAGAAAAAGACAACCTTTCGCATGATCTTCCTTCCATAGAAAAGCACTTTATCTCGTTTCCTGAATCGATAGTGAGGTACACCCGGTTGTTGATTACCTTGTCGGAAAATCAAAAAATATAATTCAGATAAACAACAAATGTCATTCTGCAGCAAGACTAAAAAAATATATATATATATAGATATATATCTATATCGCTATCTACCTATCATAGAATAAATATGAAGTTCAGCAAGAGGTCAGATGACTCACGGGCATGTTTGAATCTCCTGTAAAGGAAGAGCACCACAATTCCAATCAGCACAACTGCAACCATAGCTCCAATCAATACACCTGTAAGCTAGAAGACAAACAAGACTGATGAGGCAATAATATGATCACATGACAGCACAGTTACATAGAGTACAGCACGTTTGTAAAATTGTTTTTAGTCCAACTTTGCATCACAATTAAATTACCCGTATAACTCTAAGCAAAACGAGCTCTATTGAGTGGAAAACCGCCCGATTTGATAACACTGTATCCAGGGCCCTCATTTCTTGTACAAAACACAGGCACTCAATTTCCATTTCATACCATGCTGGTCTGCATCCTCTCCTCCAAAAACTGTGGCAGCCGTGCACGGAAATCAGTTCTGCTCATCGTTACCACCTAAATATAACACAACAGATTCAAGTAATACATGTTCAACACTGGTAGCTCCCAACTAACTCACTTTTCTCCTTTCAAACCAAGTTAGGAATAATTTTAAATGGAATTATGCGCTTACTGAACTGGCCATTTTGCACAGGTCTCCATCATCCTTTCCATGACACTCTAACCTATAAGACAAAAATCTCTATTAACGCTGAGTCTGCAGCCCAAAAATCACATGCCATCGAGGGGAACCAAAAGTTGCTGAGGAAAAGGCAACAATTAAGAAGGGGAACACGGATTTGTATGTTAGCAGCCACTCTCGCCATGTAGCGTCGTGTCGCCTTCTTAATTCATCTTAATAAAATTACCAGAACACGAATAGGTGTTATAATTAGCCAGCAACAAAGTAACTTTCGATAGACGTCAAGCTTTAGACGATTTACTGAATACGTCTGAATGGAGTAGCTAACGTTAGCTAAAATAACATTCGCTAGCAGCTGTCCAGCTGACTGAGAGTAGCTGCTTCACAAGTTATCTTGAAGAACTAAGATAGTCAAACTCTGTGAAGTTGACAGGGTGTAAAAAACCACGAGGCTTACTTTTCGAGCATCCTGGGGTGCCGTTTTCAAGCTGATAACATAGCTAAACAGAAGCTAGAATAAAGTTAGCGAGAAGCTAACAAAGTTTTATGCTGTCTGTTGCTTAGCTCCGCCCTTATCCGCTGTTACCTTGGTAGCGCTCAGATCATTTATCCAATCAGAAACGGACTAGGCACATCCTCGTCTTCCTGTTTTTAACAAAGCATCTTTGAAGGCTACAAACATCCGAGAGGAAGTGGAGTTTGTTTATTTCTCGACCAGTCTCTTGTAGTGCTTAATATTTCTATAGCATTTTCGAGTTACCTTTGCCTATTTCAGACGTTTAATATTTATATTTGTCACACTTACTTCACATGATCAAATACATTTTAATATTGGACAATGATAACATGTGTAAATACAAAATATGAAAGCTGAATGAGCTTTAACTAGCCACACCCAGTCCTGATTTAACCTAGAACCTCTTTGTGAACTAGCCTAAAAGATCTCAAAATACAACATATCACGAGCTAAAGAAACTTAAGAAAAGATGAGAAACAATGTCATTGATATCTGTCCGTTTGGAAAGGGTTACGACGCCATTTCTCTAAGCTCAAAGACTTAGAAATGGCAGGTGAACCATGGTGAACCATTATCCACAAATAGAGAAAACCTGGAACAGTAAGGTTTATGCAACCATACCAAAAAACCTCCAAGAGCACATTGACGAATCATTCAGAAGGTCACAGAAGGACCCAGAACAAGTTCTAAAGAACTGTAGGCCTCACTTGCCTCAAGTAAAGTGAGAGTTCATTATTATTCAACAATTTAAAAAAGAGAGAGTGGGCAAAAATGGCATCCATGGGAAAAATCCAATGGCAAAAACCAATGCTAACCAAAAGGAACACAGAGGCTCATCTAAAATTTGTCAATAAAACATCCCTGAAAGTTTGGGGAAAGTACTCTGTGGACTGACAAGACAAAAGTCAATCTTTGTGGAAGACTTGGGGCCTGTTAAATCCCACATAAAACAAACACAGCATTTGATAAAAGGAACATCATACCAACATTCAAACATGGTGGTAGTGTGATGGTCTGGGGCTACTTTGCTGCTTCAAGACCTGCATGACTGCATGACTTGCCATTAATTCCTCTCTCTAACAGAAAACCCTGAAGGAAAATCTCCACCCATCAGTTTATTCCCTGAATCTCAAGAGCAGTTGGGCAATACAGAGGGACAATGATCAGAAACACACCAGAAGTCCACCTCTGTATTGTTCAAAAAACAAAACAAAAAGAAGGTTTTGGAGTTACTTATAGCCAAAGCCCGGACTTAAACCAGGTTGAGATGCTTTGGCATGACCGTAATCAGGCTGTTCAAGTTCAAAAACTCTCATTATGGCTGAAGTAAAACAATTCTGCCAAGCAGAGATGATCATTCCTCCACAGTGATGTTAAAGACGCATTGCCAGTTATTGTAAACACTTCACTGCAGTTCTTGCTGTCAAGGCTGGCACGAACAGGCATTAAGTTTAGGGGGCAATTACTTTTGTATATATGGTCAGGTAGATTTGGAAAGTGAATTTTACTGCTATATTGCATGAAATACTGCTTCCATAGAAATAAATACATCAAGAGTCATATAGACATGTAATCAATAATTTTATTACCATAATTCATTTGCTATTAACAAAACTGATTAAGTTTCATCCAATGTTTTGGATTCCATGATGATGAAAAATCTGCATTCACCATACAACTTTAATATAAAAACGATTACTCATGACAACTTTAAAGCAAAAATTTAGTAGCTAATAAATTCATATACAAACATTCATGTACCAACATTAGCCACTTTTTCATATTTAACCTTTAATGTATGTCCATAATGTCCATATAAATAGATATACTCTTTCCTTCACCCTCCATTTATGCATTTAAATTAAACCATTCTCATACGGTCACTGCTAATATGCAGTCACTATATAAAAATATGTAAAGAGGAGTTATGTACAGTCATTCATCTTTTTATGTGTATGCTAAAATAATGTGTAGTTTAAAATCTGATTTGAATTAAGTGCACTTAACATTACGTTCAGACACAAAACACGCACGTACACGGCATTTACAAAAACACTCGAGAAACACTAGAGGGAGCCAAAGTCATGGTAACAACTATACTTTTTATAGAAAGTAAATGATTAAACTGCCATTTTTTTTTATTGTCCACACAGATGTAATTTAAACAGATATAGAACTTAATTTTCAACATGGTATATCTGAGTCATCTGCATTTTATCTCTTTCTGTTTTTACTTTCTTTAATTTCATGAATGCTGTTTAGGTTCACTCCTCTATTTGCTTAGGTACTGGGCGACAGAATGGTAGGCGAGGAGAATCTCTGAGTCATTTGGGCAGGTGTGGCGAAACTCGTCCCGTTTGTAGGCATTCTCTAGGTAACGTGTCAGACCTTTGAGCTCTGCAGGGATGGCAAAGTCACGGTACTCCTTGATCACCACCTGAGGGAAGAGCAATTTTTACAAATAAGTCCAGGAATGACTCATTACATTTCTCAAATCATCTCTACTATTCAGATAACAGTGAATATTTCTCTCTTCTTCAGGATTAAAAAACAAAACAAAACGAAAGGTTTGTATACACATAGGATTGCTGAATTCTGTTCACCTTGACAATGTTGAGTTTGGGAAGCAAGTTGCAATCTGCCAAGGTAAGGCTGTCACCATCCAGGAAGAGACGTGAAGACACAGTAAGATCTGGGTTTTTGGCCAGCTCGTGAGGGAGAGGAGTTTCTAGATACATGTTCAGCTTCACCAGAGTGGAAAGAAATTTCTTCTCGAGCACTGAAAGAAGTTGCAGGCTTTCTGTTAACCCATGGTGGCTCTTTCCATCATATATATAGCATAAGTGACTTGAAAGTTTCAAAATTCTTACTGTCATTTAAACCAGGATTGGGATTCTTGATATATCCTGAGAATTTTCGGAAGATGTCTTCTCCAACACTGTTGGACTCTTTGTAACGACAGCACAATTTTGGGTGCCTGTTGTTAATCAAATAAAACATTTTGTTAATGTTTGGTGTTGCAGTGATGGGTTAGATATGCAGTGTGTTTCAAGGACTGAAAAGACTGTGGTTCATATGTTTGAAGCAAGATGCACTTTGCTCACTGTGGAGGGGCTAAGGTCTCCTCCAGGAACTCCTCAATCTTATTAGTGTCCGTTTTGACTTCATCATTGTAGATGAGAAAGGGAGGCTGAGAGCCTGGAGCCAAATCCTTCAGTACATCCGGAGCCCTGCAACAGATCAGTGAAGGCTTATTTTGGCACACTTGATCAGAAAGTTAAAATGTTTAACTTCCCAGCCTAAACCAAGCAAATGCTATGGAAAAGCATGCTAGGATCACTTTCTAATGATGTGTTTTGACACTTCAGTATATATAAATAAAGCCATGCTATGATGACCATTGATGATTAGAGTAATTTCTGGCTTTTTTTTTTTTCAAAGTAGCTGCATAGGTAGAGACCACCCTCGCTGACTTCAGATGCATGCCCAGTGGTTTTTGTTTTATAAGTAGGCCTGAAATATGACAAAAATTGTTCTATTCAGAAAAGAGCTTCAAGGATTACTCCTAATTAAATTTTAAAGGGGTAAAGACTTAATATCCACTGCGGTTTGTTCTCACTACCAAATGTGTTTTATGGCTATGAATTAGTTTACGAGTGCAAGTGTTCTTCTAGAATCAGGCACATTTACCAGTCTAAATTTGGTTTGTAGTGATTCCTACTGAGTGAAAAATAGACTGACATGATAAGTTTAACAAAAAAAATACAAATACGGGTTTGAAACCATTGAGCTGCTTTTGTTTTGTGCTATAGATTAACAGGGCTTCATTATTTCCCCCTTTTGCAAAACATGAAGAAGCAATGACTGCTGGAGTACAAGCAACCATCTTAACACCTTCTTACAGAATTTTTGAGACACCGGAATGAAAGCTTCCTATTTTTATATGATCTAAATAGTGTATTTTATATACTTAACTTTCATGTTGTTTATGTTAAGTGCAGCATATTTTGCTCCTTGCCCCCTCCCTTTCCGCTGCCTGTTCATCAGAAGGACAGCTTTAAATTTGATGTCAAACCTTTGCGTGGGGGGTTTATTCTTTTATTGTTGGTTTTGGTGTTTCTTACGCCTGATTCTCACTCATACATTGTAAATATCATTCAGCTTCCCGTGTGTGTGTTTGTTTTCTTAAACCTGCAATATCTGATTTTACTGACACTTGGGGGCAGTGTCAACAAGTGAACACAACATTTGTGTTTTTGCCTTTTTAAAAATGGAATGGAAACTGATTTGTTTTAGATATAAACCTGATTATTTTGAGCTTGTTTGCTTTAATTTTGTGTCACTTTTGAGTCAGTTACAACTGTTTGCTGACCATTTGTTTTTCTCACTAGTGTTTCTCAAACCTTTTCTTTTTTTCTTTTTTTTTTTTGTTATTGTTTTGAATCTCGTGGAGGTTTTGTGTTTCTTTGCAGGTGTGTAAAATATTTGTTTGCGTCATCTTGTTATCTGTCTTCACAAATATCTCTTTGTACTCGTTTTCAGCATCTTATCATTCGTAACCTATTGCGGTCATTTGTGTGACTGCTTCAGAATCTCAGCCCTTTGGCCTACACCAGGCAGCAGTCTTTTCTGTTCAGTAATCTACCATTTCACATAATAAATTTTTTACCAGTTTTTACCAATTTTTTACCAAAAACTGAATCCTGTATGAATGTAAATAATTTGCCTGCCTATATGTTTTATTGCTGTGGCTGTTTCTTGCATAGCATTTAGTGTCCCTGTAACCTTTCCTGAACTCAGTGGGGTTGGTGGAGGGTGAGGTGTTGGCAGGTTTTCATTGTTGGGTGGCTTTTATAATGTAAATCAGACTTTCCTCCCATTTCTTTTACAAATGCAACTCTCTGTCCTTGAATGCAACTTGTGAAAAACAATGTAAATAGTAGTTTTGTTGAGACTACATCAAAAAAGCAGTATGAAGCCAGTCTCCTTTGTGCCCAGCTCTTAAAGATTCTACAAGACTTTTTGAAAAACGAATAAAATGTGCTCTCACCTCTTCATGTCTACAGTGGTCAGGGTAAAGTTGGCCCCTTTTAACCAAAGAATCATGAAGAGTCTCTGACAGAAAGGGCAGTTCCCCACACTCTCAGCATCATAACTGGCCTGACAGACAGAAACAAAGACACTTTGCAGTCACAGCAGATGAGTATAAAACAAGCTTTTATGATCATAAAATTGCACAATTGTACGTGGGTTCTAGTATCAGGATCTAACAAAACCATGAGCACCTACACAGGTATTCTCGTTAAGCCTGCTCTGCTCTGGCAGTTTAAGCTAACTGCAAAGGAATTTCACACCCAGATTAAAAAGCCTATTATTGTAATACTGGTTTGTATCTCTGCCATATCCTGCATTGTATGCTTTACTACAGTTTAAATACACTGAAATACTGTAGTTTGCTAAAGTTAAAAGCTTTTTTTTTGACACATTTCTGTCACTTTAGATGTAAACAAACAGGAAAATGTCACCTTGTGTTACCAAGTAGCTGGGAATGGGAAGGGTTTTTGCTTAGACTGTAACACGTCAAGATTGTTGTATGTCTTACCTTTACAAAGAGTTCAATCTTTGGCTCCTCGGCCATCTTACTTTCTCTCCGTCTTTCCACTGATGTCCACGTACCTCTGCTGGTTCCACAAACTGATTTCTTTCTGTCACTGCTGATGAAAGGACAAGGCAGAGCTGTGATAGTGACTGAAGTAAAGACATTTGCAATTTTCTGACACACCTCCTTACCTATTTCTTTCTCTCTGTTTTTAAATAAAGCACACATATATATATATATATATACTCACACTGGTGATCACAGCTAGCACTGGATGCAAGACCAGTACTTTATCTTTCCTCCACCTGTATTATTTAATTGCTCTACTCTTCACCTGTTTCTGGGGTTTGTTGTTCTGCCACCACACCTCTCCAGCATTGAGTGGCAGCCTACACCTCCTCTGGAGTTACCAGTCAGACCAGCAAATCTGGATCTGGCTTCACTTCCAGCATATTCTGTCGATGAAATCTTTCTGTCTGTCCAATATGACTCTTTCAGCCCTGGCTTGCTCTTTGTAAATTGCTATCTAGCAGAAAAGATCAGTTAGACAAAAAGGAGTCATCAAAAAAGTGGACTATTTCTATAGTTTCAAGCTTGCTTACTTTCAGTTCAGTTAATTTAAACTTTATTCATCACAAATCACAACAACAGGTGCCTCATAACGCTTTATATTGTAAAGTAAAAACCCTACATTAATAGACCAAAAACAGAGAAAACCCTTGCAAATCATATGACACCAAGATGTCTGTCTCCTGAATCCAAACTGGAAGCCCAGAGAAGAGGGGCCTGAAGGCTCTGCTTCCAGTCTATTGCTAGGAACCACGAGTAAACCAGCAGTCTGAGAGCTAAATGCTCTAATGGCATTACACAATACTATGAGGTCTTTAAGATAACACGGGCCTGATTATTCAAGACAATGTATTTGATGACAAGGATTTTAAATTTGATTCTGGATTTAACAGGGAGTCAATGAAGAGAATCCAGTATAGGAGAAATCTGCTCTGTATTTCTAGTCCCTTTCAGTCCTTTAATTAACTGCAGCATTTTGGATCAACTGCAGGCTTCCAGGGAGTTTTTAGAACAGCCTGATAATAACGAATTCAATTGTCCAGCCAAGAAGTAATAAATGCACAAACTAGTTTATCAGATAGGACGTTTCTAATTTTAGAGATATTGCACAAATAGAAGAAAGCACTTCTACATATCAGTTTAATATGCACAAGGACATATCCTGGTTAAACATGACTCCAATATTCCTGACAGTGTTACTGGAGGCCAAGGTAAAGTCATCCAGAGTAAGAATCTGGTCTGATACCACCTTTCTAAGTTTTTTAGGGCCAAGTGCAATAACCTCAGGTTTAACTGAATTTAGAAGAAGAAAAGTTGAGGTCATCGAGGTCTTTATGTCTTTAAGATATTCGTGCAGTTTAACTAATTGGTGTGTTGTATCTGGCTTCATTAATAGATAAAGTTGGGTGTCATCTGCATAGCACTGAAAATGAAGGCTATTCCTTCTGATGATACTGCCTAAAGGAAGCACATATAATGTAAACAGAATTGGTCCTAGCACTGAACCCTGTGGAACTCTATAATTAACCTCAGTGGGTGAAGAGAGGATTCTCCATTTACGTGAACAAATATGTATATAGATATGATTCAAACCACTGCTGTGCAGTATCTTTAATACCTACAGCATGCTCTAATCACTGTAAAAATATATTATGGATTACAGTGTCAAACACTGTACTGAGGTCTCAGAGGACACTCACAAAGATGGGTCCACTTTCAGGCCATAAGAAGATCATTTATAACCTTCACTAAAGCTGTTTCTGTACTGTCATGGGCTCTGAAACCTGACTGAATCTCTTGAATTAAACCATTGCTCTGCAGATGATCAGTTAGCTCTGTAACAACTACTCTTTCATGAATTTTTGAGATAAAAAGGAAAGTTGGAGATTGGCCTATAATTAGCTAAACCATCTAGGTCAAGTGATAGGTTTTTAAGTAACAGTTTAACTACTGCCAGCTTGAAGCCCTGTGGTATCTTTCCAATTAATAGAGACAGGTTGATCATACTTAAGACTGAAACATTAATTAATGGTAGAACGTCTTTGAGGAATCGACTCTAAAGGACATATTGATGTTTTGGAGGAAGGAATTACAGTTATCTCACGGAGCAAAGTTTGAAGTATATCACATGCTGCTGGAACATCAATAGCATGGTGCAGTAGTTTTCCAAAGGATGTTTTGACTGCTTGTGGCTGCTTCCCCATGCTATAAAGAAAAATTCTCCACTAGCTGATGAGTCACATTTTGCACACTGTGGTACCCTCACAGTGGAACTGGAAAGAGGGCTATCCAAAATACTGCCACAAAGGTGATATTGTATCTTAAATATCATTGTTGAATTTATTATTCAACTCTTTTTTTCTTTGCTTTTTGGCCACATTATTTTCTGCATGCTTTCCATTTCAGATATAAATTAAGCAGTTGCACTGAAGACATTTTTAGACCCAGTGTTTCCCATTCAGTTTGATATGTTTATATTGGACATTTTCCACAGCTGTTTCTAGTTGTCGATCTGCATTCATGACTGAATAAAAATGCTCTTGTGTAACAAGCATTCACCACCGAGACTTGTGTTCCGGTTGGCAAGAAGAGAAAGAAACACCCTCAAGGATGTAAAGAGAAAAAATGGTGAAAGCTGAATGAGTGAGATAACATCACTAGAAAGAAGCAGACTGCTGTAGCTGTGACACAACCCCTACAACATTGTATTATTCCACAGGCGAGGAAGACTGAGGAAGGAAATCATAAGGGTGTGACCTGTCTTTATCAGTCATCTGTGACTTTTTGTGCTGTGAATTCCATAAGCTGATTTCACACACTCAAATACATGTTGATGAAAGCAGTTTAGTGTATTATTTTGTCCAGGATCGAACAGGATGTTGTTCTGCTTTTGAAACACTCGAATATTCTTTGAATAAATTCTTCAACAATTGAAACTAAATTGTCATATGTGCAACAAATATGGTGTAAAAACAGTTTTAACATAAGCACAACATAAACCAAATATGTTATATAAAACATGGTTTTACTAAAGGGATGGCATATTAAACATACATGCGATTACCATTATTTACAGGGTATGACTATGACTATGATGTTCCTTTCTCACATTGCTTCATCTGAATTGGTTGCACAAGCACAAAGATGGACTTTATTTAGTATTTGATAATCTATGAGATTTAAATATACTTTCAACCATTTTAAAATCCTATTTTTTGTACCCTTTGACAATTTAAAGGTGAGACAAACAGGTCAAGAGGCTACTGGGAGAGGAAAACAGGTAAAAGCAGTAAAGGTGGTGCACTGAGGTGGCGACTGGGAAATGCAGGACAAGCTTATACACAGATAAGAGTCGGGTGATTGGGACTATTGTAAAGGAAAATTTGTAGTTAAAAGAGGCAGATAATTTCTTCTCCATGGGGTCCAGAAATCCCACTGGGAGCCACCAACATGCACAAGCTTGTTGAGCTAGTGATTTGCTCACAAGAAGACTAAGGATGACCTCTACTGCTCAAATTTAAGATTACACAAGATGGAAAAATTTTTGCAGCAACACAGGAGATCCAGCACACCAGTGCACATAATTACATATTCACAGATACACTGTTACAGATTTTAAACTACGACTACACTATCTGCAATTCATTCTGGATCAAATACAGATTTGTTCACCACTTCTTGCCACTGCTTTTTCATTCCTTAGCACTAACAAACCACAAGTGATAATCAGTGACAACCAGGCATGTATATGTAAATAATACTCTAAATATATCTAACATCTTGCTGCATGTTGTCTTTTGACCACTCACTGATGCAAACAGAAACATGATGTTTCTGATACAGGCCCTTTCCCTTTTGTTTTGTTTGTAAAATATTTCTGCACAGTAGTGCCGGTGTTAGTGTTCTTCCCCCTACAGCAGCTTCCCTGATTGTAACTCAGTCTTGTGTGAGCACCCTTGTGTAACCCCCATCTTCATATGTCATGCCTGACACTTCCTCTTTTTTATAGCCGTGCACACATGCAACGAACTCGTCTTGGATATGCTCCATTTTTTCTCATAGAGTGAGGGTTGCCACAGACATAAAAGAGAAAGAATGTTCCGCACTTACCAGAAGGCAGGAATTTAAATGCAATGCGGAGTTAGAAAGAGGGTGGGACAATGTGGACCTTTTTATGTAAACACATATTCAGCAAGATTTCAGAAAAGCCACACCTACGATTCTTTAAAAGGCTTTGTGTTTTTGGTTTTCTAACACAAGTTTACCATCGTGTTTCTGCTGGCAACAAGCAGAAACAATATTCATGGTGATTGAAGAAAGAGAATAAACCACTCATCTCATCATCAGGTTAGTGGAGGAGGTTTGGGGTTTTGCCTTTCATATGTCTTTCTGGTCAGTGTGGTTCATCTAAAGAAATTTCTTGCTAAGCAAAATCTTGCTAAATCTTTATTTGTTTGCTTGCTTATTTAATCTGCCAGCTTGCATTTCATTGACTGCTAGAAATAAATAGAAACATGCAGGTTTAAAAGTATAGGGTCACCAGCCAGTGACAGAACAACAAAATCTTTTACAACATCCTGTAAAGTTATTTATTTCATATTCTGTATAGTTTTTCATATTTATATCCTGTTCATATCCTGTACATAGCTTGTACTCACTACAGCCTGTACATACTTATAGTTATAGAATATTCACAACATACTTCATACCGTGTACATTATAACATACCATAATAGACCCATTTCTGTAATATACTCACATATCTATATTATTGCTAATATATATTGTAATATATCTATATCACTAAAGCACTTCTGGATGGATGCAAACTGCATTTCGTTGCCCTGTACCTGTGCATGTGCAATGACAATAAAGTTGAATTCTATTCTATTCTATTCTATTCTGTAGTTGATCTTTAGGTCTGAACTATAGACATGGCCTGTTTCTTAAGAATATTGCTATTTAATACACTTGTTGACATAGATTTTGAATAAAAATATATATAATGTATTAAGGATATATACAAATGTTTTTATGAAGGAGGCTCATTTGTTCTATTTGTTTTTCCAAACATGTGCTTTCTTCCTCTGCCATGCAAATGTAAGGAATAAATTTGTGAAAATATTTCTTCAGGAGTTAGTGTGGGAAGTCATTTTAAATGTTGCTCTTCTTCATTTTCAACAAACTGAAACCTTGTAGTTTCAGGTCTTACATATTGCAAAATCCCATTTCCTTAAGTCTGCATCACATTGTACTTTCTAAAGACAAAGACAGG